ACATCTACAAATATATAATAGAAAAATCTCTACAAATGTTCTACAAAAGACTTTTGAAGTAACTATGATTAAAGTATTTAATAAATCTAAGGAAAGATGAAGAAAATGAAATAGATAAGAAAATTTCCCAAAGTAGAATGTATAAGACATACACATCCTAGAATTAAAAGTACTTTATGTCTGGTATTAAGAACTCTAGTTGGTTTAACAGAAGAATAGAAGTAAAAATAGAGATAAAAGTACTGATCGAGAATATATCCAGAGTGGGCACGGTGGCCCACGCCTGTATTCCTAGCGCTTTGGGAGGCCGACATGGGCGGATCACCTGAGGTCAGGAGTTCGAAACCAGACTGACCAACATGGTGAAACCCCATCTCTACTAAAAATACAAAAATTAGCTGGGCATTGTGGTGGATACCTATAATCCCAGCTACTCAGAAGGCTGAGGCAGGAAAATCACTTGAACCTGGGAGGCACAGGTGTAGTGAGCTGAGATCGTGCCGCTGCACTCCAGCCTGGATAACAGAGCAGGACTCTGTTTCCAAATATATCCAAATGGAAGAAGGGAAGACAAGATGGGTGAAATGTATATGAAATTCAGAAAAAAAGTAGAGTCAGAGGGGAAAGAGTTAAAATGTCTAGCATAACTAATTTAAGAGGAAATGATAGATTAGGACAAAGCAATATTTGCAGGAGTAAAACCAATTATTTCCCAAAAGTGGCAAAAGACATTAACCTATAAATTTAAGAACTCCCAAACCATATAAACAGAGGGGGAAAAAAAACAGGCAAAAAATCTTAAAAATAAAAAAAGACATGAACCTTAATAAAAGCAATGGAAATATTGACAACTGAAGTCTCAGTGATAAAAAGCAGCAGACAATGTAATAACATCTTTTTTTTTTTTGAGATGGAGTTTCGCTCTTGTTACCCAGGCTGGAGTGTAATGGCGTGATCTCGGCTCACCGCAACCTTCGCCTCCTGGGTCCAGGCAATTCTCCTGCCTCAGCCTCTTCAGTAGCTGGGATTACAGACACGCGCCACCATGCCCAGCTAATGTTTTTTTGTATTTTTAGTAGAGACGGGGTTTCACCATGTGGACCAGGATGGTCTTGATCTCTTGACCTCGTGATCCACCCGCCTCGGCCTCCCAAAGTGCTGGGATTACAGGCTGGAGCCACCACGCCCGGCCACATCTTTAAAGTACTGAAAGGAAATGCCAACCTTGGCTTTTATGCCTTGCAAATATATCCTAAAAATAGTGATGAAATGAAAACATTTCCAGATATAGACATATGAAAGCTTAGAGAATTTATCCCTCAGAAATTTGTACTAAAAGAAATTTAAAATGGAGTTCTTCAGTAGAAGGAAAATTATATACAAGGGAAACACAGAAATTGAAGAAGATATAAAAATCATTGAATAAGAAAACTAACTAGACAAAAATAAATGACTAGGGATTGAATGTTAATGATACCTTACAATAATATTATGTGGCGTTTAATAGATACGTAGAAATAAAATGCTTGAAAACTATAAGAAGAAGGGAGTGAGTAAATGGAATTAAATGCTGTAAATTTATAGCATTTTAAGGAAGAGGCAAAATTTCTATTCACAAAAGGCACAATTTAAATATAATAATCATAAAGATTGCAAGAAAAAGGGAAGAAGATATAAGGTACACACACTAAACAAAAAAGCTTGAGTGTGTCAAGAAATTGATCTCAAGGAAAAATCATTATTTGAAATAAAGAGGAAATATCATAATGAATATATCACTTTCCTATATTTCCTATATCACTTTCCTATATTTAAAATGTCTTTTGTAAACCCCATGTAGCTGGATCCTGTTTCTTTAATTCAGTATAACAATTTTTATCTTTTAATTGGACTGTTTATTTACATTTAGTGTAAAATGTTGTTGAAATTATGTGTAATATATCATGTTAGTATTTAAAATGCAGGATTATATTACATCAGTCCCAGAGGAACCAGATAATCTTACTACTGTCTTGCCAAACGGTCTAATCCAAGGTTATCCAACTTGTGCCCATAGGCCACATGTGGCCCAGGATGACTTTGAATGTAGCCCAACACAAATTTGTAAGCTCTCTTAAAATATTATGTGGCTTTTTAAAAAAAACTTTTTCTTCTTTCTTTTCTTTCTTTCTTTCTTTCTTTCTTTCTTTCTTTCTTTCTTTCTTTCTTTCTTTCTTTCTTTCATTTTTAGCTCATTAGATATCATTAGTGTTAGTGTATTTCCTATATGGCCCAAGAAAATTATTTTCTTTCAATGTGGCCCAGGGAAGCCAAAAGATTAGACACCTCTGGTCTAATCTCAGCACATTGACATCCTTCATTTGGCTCACTTTTGCCTCCAAGTTTTGCAATAGTGCAACAGACTAGCAGAAACTAAGGCACATACAAGCACTCTAGATGCAAAATGTCTGTAAGAAAAGCAGTCCAGAAAGAGTTCAGATGAATATTGAGTGAACTAACCTATGGGACTGACCATAAACCAAGTGAGGGGAATGGGAAAATAGGCTATCCAAAAAGAGAGAAAAGCGCCTTACAAGATATATTGGCTTACAGCCATGGGAGTAGAACCAAATTTCATGACTTCCTTTCCTTTTTACATTAAGATTTAGAAACTTGGACTTAGGATATTCACAATGCTTCTCTATAATGTATAATAAGGAGTTTTGGGGAGTGTGTATTTTGGACACCTTGGTCAAGTGACTTATTCTGCTAGGGCTCAGTTTTGTCATCTAAAATTCAGTATAATAATACATTACACAATTCATAGAACTGTTGTAAGCATTAAATTAAATAAGACAAAGTATAGGCAAGGATGTAGTGTAGACCTGAAACATAGAAGATGTTTAACATGTGTTTCTGATATCTGGCAATGATCATGGCAGTTTATAATAAGAACGAGGACTTGGGACAAGTGATATGCTACTTACTTTACTCTCTTCAATTAGGAGTCAATCCTACTAGGTCAATAGGCAAAGGAAATGGTTAGAAGAACTTATGGTGGCACATTCATTCTTGACTCACATGTGAACACAATATAATTTCATGTCTCCTTGATAAAACTACTTTTCTACAGGGAAAAATAAAAGGCAAGTAGAGAGATTGCACAGTATAACATGAGACAGCCGTTACAGAGTCAACAAAAAAATGTCAAGTTAAGTGAGTCACAATTCCTTGAAATTGTATTCCATGCCCACAAATGCAGAAGGCTCCCTCAGGTTGGGTTATTTTTATCTTTTTTAAAAAGTTTCATTGAGGTATAGGTTATATGCAATAAAATAACCAATTTTAAGCATACAATTCAATGAATTTTTATGGATGACTACAATAGTAACCAACATGATATAAAACGGAAAACAATCCTTTTTCCCACAACCCAGACCTTGAGCTGATTTGCTTTTTGTCCATTAGTTTTGCTTTTTCTAGAAAAAGAAATCATACAATATATAGTCTTTGTGGCTGGTATCTTTCATTCAGTAAGGTTTCTCAACTTTCTGTGTTTGTTACAAGTCCCTCTAATTAATCTTTTCCCTAATTGTCTCTCTCCCCTTTATGAAATGTTGATACCACAGATATATCTATATGTCTATGTACTGTATATTCAACTGTGCTTTATACAGAGTAAGATTTTTTTTTCACACCTCAAAATGTTTTGCCCCTTACGAGGCGCTATCGCCCCATTGAGAATACATGATTTAGTGTAATGTTTTTGAGATTCGTCAGTATTGTGTGTATCAAGAGTTGGTTCATTTTGTTGCTGGGTAATATTCCATTGTAAGTAGAGACATTCAATAAATGAATAAGAATAACTGCACATGTGTTACAAAGATCAGGGAGTGAGTGCATAATTCAATTATTATTCTTTCTCAAATCTTAGACTCCCTGGTGTCAATAAACATACCTCTAATAACACGATTGTTCAAGTCAGAAATCTGAGAGTATCAAGACACTTCTTTTTTCCTCATTTCCCCATATCAAATCCATTAAAACCTGCCAATTTCATCTCTTGATTATTGCTTGAATCTTGTATCAAGGGATTAGATTTTGCCACTGTAACCCAGAACATTCGACATATAAGGCTATCAATCTTTATCTTAGAAGAGATGGGAAGCCATTGAAGAGATTTAGATAGAAAACCTGCCATGAGCTTCTTTGTGAAATTAGAAGATTATAAAATCTTTTATAGCAAGTAATGAATAAGAATACGGTGAATAAATTAGAAAGGACTGAGAGTATTTGTGGAGAGGATCTCTCAGGAGTCCAGAGGAGAAATGACAATGGCTCTGCCATGAATTTGCAAGACCTTTGAGGGTAAGAGATGGGAGGGTTGCGAGACATGCTACATTTTCAGTGGGGCCCATGGGAAGGCTTAGCAAGACCTCACTGCTGGATGATAACATAACTATAATGAGAAATTCAGATAAACCTTCCTATTGCTTGCTGCTGCCTTGTCTTAGATGATTTTTTTTTTGGCCAAATTAATCAGTATTCTAAATGAATTAAGTATGAATATTCTTGGGTCGATTGCTAATAAGTATGAAAGAATTAGAGAATTACAATCATGCCCATAATAAAAAAAAAGTGTATGCTTCATGCATCCACTGATCTTTCTATCCATCTTACAACTTTTTAAAGGGTTACGGTAGTACTAGTATCCATATGTCAGCTCCAGATGTTCTGCAATCCTTATGTAAATTGTCTTATCTGCATTCGTGTCTCTGGGGGGCAACTTGAAGATTAAGATTCGATTTTTATTTCTATTAAAGATTAAGAATCAATGGCTTACTGTGTTTTGGGTCTAGGGTATGCAAACATTCATAGGACATCATCTTCATTCTTAAAGCGTGTAAAGTTTATATCATGTAAGCAGATAAATGACAAAGCCACATTGTCAGTGCTATAAAGAAGACAGCTACAAAGCTCTGAAAGCTTGTCAGCTTACTCTGGTGTTTTGTCTCCTCCAGGTGACTTCCCAAGTATGGCTGGCCACAATACCTCGAGGAATTCCTCTTGTGATCCTATACTGGCACCCCACTTAATCAGCCTCTACTTCGTAGTGCTCATTGGAGGGCTGGTGGGTGTCATCTCCATTCTGTTCCTGTTGGTGAAAATGAACAGCCGGTCAGTGACTACCATGGCGGTCATTAACTTGGTGGTGATCCATAGCGTTTTTCTTCTGACAGTGCCATTTCGCTTGATCTACCTCATCAAGGAGACTTGGACGTTTGGGCTGCCCTTCTGCAAATTTGTGAGTGCTATGCTACACATCCACATGTATCTCACGTTCCTGTTCTATGTGGTGATCCTGGTCACCAGGTACCTCATCTTCTTCAAGCGCAGAGACAAAGTGGAATTCTACAGAAAACTGCATGCTGTGGCTGCCAGTGCTGGCATGTGGGCCCTGGTGATTGTCATCGTGGTACCCGTGGTTGTCTCACGGTATGGAAGTCATGAGGAATACAATGAGAAGCACTGTTTTAAATTTCACAAAGAGCTTGCTCACGTGCATGTGAAAGTCATCAATTATATGATAGTCACTTTTGTCATAGCCATTGCTGTGATTCTCTTGGTCTTCCAGATCCTCATCATTATGTTTATGGTGCAGAAGCTACACCACTCCTTACTATCCCACCAGGAGTTCTGGGCTCAACTGAAAAACCTATTTTTTATAGGGATCATCCTTGTTTGTTTCCTTCCCTACCAGTTCTTTAGGATCTATTACTTGAATGTTGTGACACACCCCAATGCCTGTAACAGCAATGTTGCATTTTATAATGAAATCTTCTTGAGTGTAACAGCAATTAGTTGCTATGATTTGCTTCTTTTTGTCTTTGGGGGAAGCCATTGGTTTAAGCAAAAGATAATTGACTTATGGAATTGTGTTTTGTGCCGTTAGCCACAAACTATGTTATTCATATTTGCTTCCTTTATAAAAATGGATATAGAGGAGTTAAGAATGGTATTTCATTACTTGATAAAAAACCATGCTTTGATCTACCCAAAACAAAAGGACTATAAAATGTCAGAACCCTCATGTAGTCATTATGAGTGATGCCCATACAAAGAACCAGTGATGTTGAATCTACTTGGAGTTGAATATCACATTATTTTCCAATACAGAATGTCTGTGTGGCCCATCCATCCAGGCGACATAGATGTTAAGAGTTTTAGAGTTTCATTAGTTCATTCCAATTTCCTCTGTTTGAAGCATGTTTTTTTCTTAGATTTCGGACTGGACTCAGCCCTTTAGTTCTCTTCATCCCACTTCACCTTACGTAAGTAAATCCTGGCCACGACCCAGCTCCGAAGACACAAACTCTCCTTGGTTAACCAGATTTGATATCCCATTCATCTCACATCATGATAAAAACTGATAAGGGGGGGAAATGGTAAAAAAATATTTGTAGGGTATCATAACTCTGGTGGAAAGTCATCTATTTAGAAATTAAGAGAAAAAGAACTCACGGCTTTCTGTTATAACAAGGTTTTTTTTATTTGTCCTGTAAAAGATCAACTCCCTCAACATCACCAATTGCATTTTTGCTCCAAAAATAGTTTGAAAGCTTACTGGACGTATCTACATAATGGTGAAACTGTAATTTAGAGAATATTCCTGAACAATGTGCTGGCATGCATTAAAATGAGTTCCCAAGGGAAGTGATTAAATTTTTTTTTCTTCTGTTTTCTGAGAGAGTTTCTAGATGTCCTGGGCCATAGTTAATTAAGATTTTTAGTGGGGACAGAAAGTTATACTGAAATCTTTAGAGCTCCCTTCCACCCTTAAAATTATATGTTTTTAAATAAATGAAAACTGTGTTTTTAAAAGAGGGCTTTTGAGAAGTATATAGAAAACCATTACTTTAGACTCCGTGAGATTAGGTTGCATGAAGATTTCCTGAATATTTGAAGAATGGATAAATAAAATGTACTTGAAAGTAACAAAATTATAATCCTTTAAAATACAGGGGAAATAACAAATGGGTACTAGGTTTAATACTTGGGTGATGAAATAATCTGTACACAAACTCCCATGACACATGTTTATCTAACAAACCTGCACATGTACCCCTGAACTTAAAATAAAAGTTTAATATCATCATAATAAAATAATTTGGATTATTTTCCAAATTCTGGGTTACTTTATGTAAAATTTGATTAATAACATGTGACATGTGGCATATAGGACATCTATGATGGTTGATACACAGGCTTGTGGGTTTTTGCTTTCTGGGTTTTTTTACTCCTGCCCATACTATTATTGCCTTCAATGTTTTATCCTCTAAAAATTTTCCCAGTATCTGATCCAGTTTCATATTTAATGCTTCAGAAAACCTGAAGTAATTAGTAACATGAATAAAATAACTGAATGAATTAAGGGATTTTTTTTCATCAAGGTATGTATTTAGAACTTAAAAGTTTTTCTCAATTTATTATCACTCTGTAGATTCACAAATTTCTCAGATGAATAAGAAATATCCCTGTGAATTTCTGTGGTCTCTAAAATTACTGAACCATATAAATTAATTCTGAGGAAGCAAGAGTAGCAACACAGTTCAAACATGACTTGTTTCCGTATATTTTCTGTTTTACATATTCTTTCATCTGTTCTTTTTTAAAAAAGTAATATTTCTTTTTTCTTGTCTTTTTACTCACTTATTTTCTACATTTTTTTCTTTCTCATTTTGAACCATAAAATTTACAAGACAATTACTAAGACCTCTGATAGTTTTTTTCAAGAAAATTTATAATGCCCATAAATATGCTTAAAAAAGAAATTAAAAGTATTTGTGAGAATTTCATTATCTTGTAGATTATATCATAATCTCTTCCAGATTTTAGATATCTACGGTCAGGCAATTCAAAAGAATTAATCTCTGTATTAACCTGTTATAATATTAATATAACACTAGGTTATTTTCACACATCATAATAAAGGGCTTATTAGAAATGTTACTCAAAATATAGAAATGCAATATTCCATAATAATAAAATATCTTTTTCATAAGTATTTATGGAGTAAATAGAAAAATTTCAGTTTTCTGTTCTTTGTCTTTAATCAATACAGAAATGAATCTCATGTGGGACTGGGGGTGACATTGGCCTCTAGGGCCATTTTTGGATATCACCATTATAGGAGAGGACTAGGATTAATATTTAGCGGTGGGAGCCAAGAAATAGACATCTTGCCTTGCACATAATTGTCTACACAATAAAGAACTATCAGGCCTTGCTCTGTATTTGAATGCTCTATTAGACATTAATGAAGTGAAACATATGATCATAACAGAGCAGTTATCAGGTTTTATCCAGTTTTCATAAACCCACAGTATTTTTTTTGTAAAGCTTTAATTCTCTGAATTTTCTGGAGATGGAATGATCATGGATTGAAGAAAGATTTTACTTTGGTTTCCTCTGAACTTTACCAGGGGTCATTCAGTCCTTTGGAAATGACTTGATAAGTAGCAATACCATTTATGACATTAACATAAGACACAACATACCTGTAAGCAATATTTGCAGCTACTGCATTCAAGAGATATTACATACAGGTGTATGTAATCAGACTGACTCATTTTGTCTCTTTATGTGATTATGCCTGAGCATTTACACACTGAAATACAAAATATTTTATTATTGATAACTTTTCATTACTCGTTTATATTACAGTGAAAACATTATGCATAAATAATGTGTATGTTTACATTATTAGTGTAGAAAGCATATACATTTCATTTTGAGATGGTAAAATTATCTGTAAGTTTTATTTTATTTTAGAATGGTAGAAGTATTATCAATATTTGTGATAAAAAGCAAGGTATTGGGTCTGAGAAAGTTGAGAACCACTGAACTACCATGAAGAGACAATATAAGAGGGAAATTTATAAATTTTAACATTATAAACAGGAAAGGTATTTCTGTTTTTGAACTATCTCATCTTCATTCAATTCTAAATTATTTATTTTGCTTCTACAGCAATTAAATGTAACTTTTAGAAAAATGTGAAGAAAATACACGTATGTATTTTCTTTTTTAATAAGAAAAATGCATTTTTCTGAGGCACACCACTCTCCGATTGGCTCTTGGCCAATATCTATCAGATTTTTAACTCAGGCATAATAATTTTTGAGGCCCAGTTAGAAAGATCTCTTCAGGAACCCATTAAAAGGGACATTACTTGGCTCTTGTTTATTTCTTAATTTTCCTGTGAAAGGATCATTGAATCCCCTGCCTTTCTCCTCAACTTCATATAAATTAGATAGAAAAAGATTATTTCACTTGTAGGTGAAGTGAACTTTGTATAAAGTGATTCAAGAGGTTGTAATAAATCCCTCCTGCTTCCCCAAATCATCCTCAGTGAAGCTGACATTAAAACTCCATTGTTGGGTTGAGATTCAGTTTTTCTGAAGGAGGGTATTGGGCCAATCCATTCTCAGTCATTGGCTTTTGGTGTGATGTTAGAATTTGTGACGCTGTCATAGCTTTGATTGGATAGACTTTGCCCACTTGCCTCTATGAGACATAGGCCAAAGACTCTCACAGCTATTGGGACTGGTAGGAACAAGAAAGCTCTTCTTGTTGTAGGGGCCACTACAGCATTTTGCAAATAGTTGGTACTGAAAGCTCCTTGGTAAAGGGGCACAGGGATGGCAGAACTGCTGGGATAATGCCCAGGGATTCCAACATGCCAAGGGACACCCATGGGTATCGGAAACCAGGAGATTCTGAAGACCCAGCAGAAGCTGTTGGGGAAATGAGACCCGGGTAAGAGAACCACTAGCTGAGAGCAGGAGGGGCCTGAGTGAGCCTTGCTCCGGAGTCCTAAGCTAACACGACTGCTCTTGGAAGACAGGACAATTGAGGCAGAAAACAAAGGAGACAGTTGTGAACAGGAGGTAAGAAGATGCTAGAGAGTATGGTTTGTTTTATTTGCAGTTTGTCCTACTAGTTTATGTCATTAGCAGCAAATGATTCCTGCCCTTTGCTGCTGATCTGGACCTCAGATCTCATGGAGAACAGGGTGTGGTTACAAAGATATAACCACTGGCAACCTGATCAAAGAGTCTGGATAAATATCTCCGGCTTATTGTTAAGTCAAATAAGAAAAGAATCCCTTGGAATTTAGAAAAAAGTCGGAAGAGTTTCCCTTTTGTTTTCAGGAAAGCGTCATCTTACATGTCAGGAGTGGACACTTGCCAAAGTCCACACCTGCCTTCTGGCACTCTTAGGAGGGTCTGGAAAGACATCTAGGCTTCCTCTCCAGTGATGTTCAATTCTATATAACACAGCACACTTCTTACCACAACCCAGTGGGTACCCCATTCTCTGAGTTGTCCTTTGCCTCTCAGAATTCCATTATTTTCATAGCATTGTGCTTAACAATGGGACACACTACTGACCTGTACACTTAAGAATGGATAAGATGGTTGATTTCATGTCATGCATATTTACCACAATAAATGATTTTTTAAATTAGAAGATATTATATATATATATATATATATATAAAATGTTGGAAACTTTAACAGGCAAGAAGTGAGCTGATGGAGAACGTTAAAATATTAGAAAGAAAAGAGCTAGTCTGAGACACAAAAAGACTTCAGTCCTCCTATCAAGGATACCTACTGAGTATAGGGAAAGCAAATGGAAAACACTTCACATCTGGACATATCCTTGGAGAATGCTTTGAATTTTAAGAACAAAGAATTTGTACAACAAAAGCCAGCAAGAGAAATGTTTATCTCTAATAGAAAGGAAAACAATTTGAAAGGTATTAAGTATTTTCCTTCACAGCCTAAATATCAGAAAATGGGAGGCAATGCCTTTTGGATTTTGGTTTAAAATATCATGACTAAGAACTCTATAAGCAGGCAAATTACTGTGCACACCCCTGGGTACACAAAGAGACTTGAGATGAATTTGCTTCTCCATCTCGAGGTTTATCATCCCAAAGCCGTTGCTTCTCCAACTCCAGGGTCTTCCCTAGGTAGGAGAGGAACGCTACTTGATTACCTTGAGGACAAATTATCTTTTAAGGAGGTGAGTCGCTGGCGAATCCTACATTTTCTTTTAGAATATAATCCATCTGAATCTAGAAAAACGTTTCTTCCATGATTCTTAAAATAAGAAGATGGCCTCTTGTTCTAGGTTCAATCCCCACTTACAGCCACTCTCATGTCACTATTTCCTTAGACTAGAAAGAGAGCCAAATTTCTGTTCTGAAATAATTGTCTCTCTCCTCCTGTCACAACCGTCTTCAAAATTTTGCTTGGCATTTAAATTTTTATTGCATATTTAGTTTTACAACCTTATTTCCTAAACTTTCCTAAAATTAAATTTCTGCTTCATCTCTATTTTTATCACAACTCGTTAACATAGATCACATTTAACCTCTAGTTCTACAGAAAACATGTATTTTGCATTTTATGAGTGGTTTAATATGACCAGTAGTGTCTACAATATCTTTCTGTCTCATTCAGAAAATTCTTTTCAAACGTGCTCTTTCTACCATCTGAGTAGTTCAGGTTATTGGCCATATGTAGTTTTTTTCCCCTTATTCCTGTATTCCTAAATGATTACAGATTGCCAAACCTTAATTTTCCCTATCAACTGTGTCAGTGGCTTCTTCTCAGCATCTCCTTATTATGAGGTGTTCTTAGAGGCTTCCACTTAAATGTAAAAACTGGAGATTGATTACCAGTTCCTGGTGTTAAGTGCCCAAGGGCTGTAAGGATTATGGAAAGCTTTACTAGAGCTGCAGTTTCTTTTGTATAGTTATTAATTCCCTGTGTAAAGTGGTCAGCCCTGTGTACCCAGAAGGATTCTGGAGTGAAGAAACTGCCCTTTCTTTGTGTATGAACCTCCTCCACCCAATGTCAGTAGACCTCCAAGTAAGCTGCAATCCACAAACGAGGGTGCTGGTCCATAATAAAATTTAGTTTTTCCAGGGAAATAAGAAATGCAATGATGATGCACTGAATTTTTCTTAAAGTAAAACATATTTAATGATATATTCAGAGATATATTTTTATAACTCACTTTATTTTCATTATATTATAATGTACTAGAAATATTATAAGCACCATTTTTAAGAGTATAATTATGTAACCTGCAAGAAGGTAGTTGTGCTAAGAACCACACATAGATAATTTTCTTGATAATATTGGTCAGTTTCCAGTATTTGGCCTTAGATGCCCTTTGGTCAGTCTTGGTATACCATGGACACAAAACAAGTACTGTATCTGCTGTTGTTACCAGTAAACAACAGACGACTCATTGCTCCAGAAAGATCTGTCAAAGTTTTTTAAAAAATAAATTTTTATTAGAGATTGAAATTAGTTATAAACAATCAATAAGTAGACACACAATGAATTTCTCTCAAAGTCCTGACTTTTGATATATTTAATGATTAAAATTAATTCTGACTTTTATGGACATTAAAAGATCAAGAATGTTAAACATGTCAAAGTGAAGTTTGTTCCAATTGGTTGGTGTGTTTGAATGTTCTTCTTCTTTTCTTGAGATGGAGTCTTACTCTGTCACCCAGGCTAGAGTGCAATGGCACGACCTCGGCTCACTGCTAACTCTGCCTCCTAGGTTCAAGCGATTCTCATGCCTCAGCCTCCCAAGTAGCTGGGATTACAGGTGCGTGCCACCATGTCCAGCTAATTTTTCTGTTTTTAGTAAAGGCGGGGTTTCACCATGTTGGCCAAGCTGGTCTTGAACTCCTGACCTCAGGTGATCCACCAGTCTCGGTCTCCCAAAGTGCTGGGATTACAGGTGGAGCCACCGCACTTGGCCTTGAATGGTTTTAAAAAGACCTGACAGAGTAAAAATGTGTATGCTATGAATTGTGTTGTGAACACATTCACAGAAGGGCATGATGAGAATAACATCCAGCCTGCCGAGAAGAGTCATGCAGAATTACTAGAAAATATGAGCATTCACATATTTACTTCAGATTTATTGAGCTAAATGAAAATGATGAAAGCAACTCTAGTGCATGATATTAATAAGTTTTGTATGCTGTGATGTTTTAAAGCCACAAAACCTTTAAGGACATTTAAATAAAATACACTACCCTAAAAGATCAGTGCAAATAATTTTTTTGAAATAAAAATGCTCCAAAATTATGAAACAACCAAGTCTTGAGTGTTGGTATATAAATATCTACTTATTCCACAAACCTCATCCTCTCTTGTCCACTCAGGACTTTGCCTCTGCTACTGTGGCCTCAGACTCCTGCACCATCATTTTCTCTCTTTCTACTGAACCATCCACATCTGCATAAATGATACTGTAGTAATGAAACAAAACCACTTCCATCATCTTCAGTAAATGCCATGCTATTGCTTTTCCTCTCTGAATAAGTTTTCTACAAGAAAACTTCTTAAATGTAACACCTGCCTTTTTTTTTTTTTTTTTTTTTTTTT